CCGGCCGAGTCAAAAGGCTCAAGATAGATCCGACGTTGCCTGGTTGTGAAGCACGCCCGCGTCAATAGACGTGTGATTAAAAAATGAAAAAGAAGAAGAAAAAAATTCCGCCGTCGTCCTCCTCGTCCCATACCCCTGCCTCACGAATCATCGTGTACGTTGAGGTTTCAGGGGTAAAAGATTCCCAAGGCTTAGCGGCAGAGCGTCAAACACCGAAAGAACCGCGTTGGGGACCGAACATTGGAAGCTGTACATTTCAGTACGTCACGTCATATTCCTCCCGGACATCGAAGTCCATCCCCGCGTGCTTGGTCCGAAGATGGCGAACAAAGTTATCGCGGCGGTTATACACGTGTCCGGTCTTTGCCTTCCGACACCCAGGAACACGGCAGCGGTACCCCGAGCTGTCGCCATCGAGCGTCCCGTGCGTCTTCTTGTGCCGCCTAAGGTCCTTCATGGTTGCGAAGGCCTTGTCGCAGCCCCCCTCGTCGCATATGTACTCCTTGATATGGTACCTTTCGTGCTTGCTGAATTGGTTCAGAGTCAGTCGACGGTTCTCACCAGATACTGAAAGACGTGGTAGTCGAGGCAATGTTTCAGCCTCGCCAAGAGAAGAAGGACTCGAGACAGAAGGAAAGTGAAGTGAGATTTACGTCAAATCACTCGGTCTGCGGAAGACCTTGGCGCAGTTCTGCCAGCGGCATTCGAAACGTATGCGCGATATGTCGAGACCGACGGCGGCGGCGGGAGTCGCAATTCCGTTGCTGAAACCGCTGTCGCTGGCCTTATCGCTTTCATTTTCGTTCCCGGGGTTTAAGGGGCTTAGAGTCGGACTCATGATTTCCGAAGAATAAGAGGGGGTGTCGAGTGGACACGCCATGACACCAAGTGCCATAGGTGATCTCCATGGCGGCAAGCCGATAGGAGGTGGGTCGTCGACGGAGTCGAGTTTGAGAGAGGTAGTCGTGTTGTCGGAGTAGTACTCGCAGTAGCAAATGGCGTTTCCAAGTAACACACAATAACAAGAATCAACAAGGTTGGGTTGTCTGCTGGTGTCTAGGTAAAACGCCACCTTGGAAAAATGAAGGGGTTCCTGGGAATGACTGGGAGCCTGATCCGGTGATCAGGAGAGGCCCGTTTGAATGGGCGCAACGTATGGGTGTGGAAAGCGGGTGAGGATTCCAAGAGGCAACAGCGAGCCCTGACGGAAAGGGTGCTTTGACCGAGTCAAAGAGTAGGCGGGGAAATTCCCCGCATGCGGCTCTCAGAATGGACGATGATTCTCCGGTGAGTTTACCAGAAAGGTAATGGTGTTTGGTAACGGGCGGTTGAGATTGAGGTGCGGTGATGCTATCGGGCCATTCCGAGACGGATGTGAAGCTGAGAGAATATTCTTGGGAGCGGATTGCCCAGAGAGTTGGTTACGGCAAGGTGGTGGGGACCGAATCAGACAATTCGACAAGCGGCAGTGAGTCGAAATACAAAGGGTCAGAGTATTTGATTGAGGTTGATTTTCGGGATATTGGAATGAGACAAGCTTCTCGGATGAGGCTGATGGTCGGCGCGGTGTGGCTGGATTTGATTGTCAGGGCTTCTCGGGAGTGCTCAGGGATTGAACAGGGAAGCAAGCGGAGAGTCGAGACCCTTTTTAATTTTTAATTTTGGGTTTTTTTTTTCCCCTGCTCACGGACAACGAAGCCGGGCCGCTGCGTTACTTAAGTAAAGTTGAGCGCAGATTTGAAGTCCTGGATCTGGCGGGGCGGTGCTTCGGAAGGGGGGCCTCAAAATTCAGAGGCTAGCAATTACTAGCATTGGTCTGATAATGCAGGACGGGCGAGTGTGGGAGAGTTCGAGTAGATGGACCAATTGAATGTCATTGAGGGCTTCGAATATGGGGTCCGCGGGTTGTCGATTTGGGCAACCTGCATGAATGCCCAGCACCAACGTGTTGGGCTCCGTACAACCTTTGGGCTTCGAGCCTCGTTATTCGCCCAGCCCGGCCCCGGCCGCCATGGTACCAAGCCGTGTCGGTGGGCACGAGACCAGACCAGACAAGACCTTCCAAGAGCCGCAGAAAGCAATCTGAAGATGTTGGAGGTGGAAGCTTAGTAACACAAGACGGCGGCGGCGGCGGCGGCGGAAAATCCAAGATCCTGGCAGGCGAGGTTGAAGAAACCGACTGCGGGAATCAGGCACCGCGAAACACTGAGTTTCCATCTCGACCGTCTGGCTGGTTCTTCCGTGCACCGCGACTGGTTGCTGCCCGACAGCACCTCACGTTTCTTCCCTCCCCGATGGCTCCTTTGGCGACAACGGTCATCCACGGTCAGCCACGGTCAGCCCTGTCAGGAACAGACCTCAACGGCCGCTGGCTTTGTCCGGTTCCTGGGCATGAATCAAGCTCATCCAATATAGGCATCTGGCGAGGCCACGCCACACCATCCGTAGATGTCTTCTGGAAGCAAGGCTCCGCCTCGCCTTTGATGCTCGGTACCTTTCGACGATGGGGTTGGTTCGCGATGGATATCAATCTACTCAAGATAGTGGCTCCATCGAAACTCTTCAGGGCGCGATAACACACCTCGTCGACACCATAAGCTTGCTTGCTTGATTGGCAGGCACCCTTTGCTTGGACTTTGCGCTGAGCGCGGGAATGCTGAAGGGGCGCCAGGCTGGGTAGGTCGGACGTTGCACCGATGCCGACCCAACTGCCATCGTCTCGTGACAATTTGCTGCACGATGCTGTGCAAGAGGCAGCGCAGTGGTCACTTGCCCTGCTCGATGCGGACGGCGATGGCAGGATACAGAAAGGGCGGGCACGAAATCATGGTTGCTCGTGGCCCAAAGCAAACTTGCAACACATCTATCAAGTAACGTAAGACCAGGTGTCTGGGACTGGTGACCAAGGCATCATGACTCGGACGATCTTTTTTTTTTAGGGAGACGAGAAGGCGGCCACGGCTCCCTCTGACTCGGCGCGGATTCGTGCCCTGACCTCTTCCGGGTTGCGCACTCCGTTGCCGCATGCAGGTGATCCAGCCGGCTCGCCCCCCTCCCTCCCGAGGTCTGCACCGACAACAAGCTGGTAGCTGCCCCCGCCAGGTGGGAGAATTCTGGTGGTGAGACGACGCGGATCCGAAACTGTTGGAGATCTGTCGGTCTGGCCGTTCATATGAAGTGAGTCAGTCAGTCAGGTAGGTAGGTAGGTAGGTAGAGATGCGGAAAGATGATGTTGGCCGAGTGATGAAGCTGGTTTTTGTTGTTGTCGGAAACAAACGCTCGCAGGCAGGTCGCGGCAGGAGGAAACTGCCACCTTCCCCCCCCTCTTCCTTTGGAAAACAAAACATTACATCGGTAGGTAGTGCCTTCTTCGCCGTGGGCTAGGCTGATCTGCAAGCGGGTGAGTGACGGGGCCTTGTTTCCCTTTCCTTGCCGTCTTTGTCTTTGTACCTCGGTACTTAGGTACCCACTTCGGTAGGTGCGGGTGAGGGGGCACGCCTTCCACGTTGAGGGGTCCACTTGTGTAGCCCCGCCAGTGTCTCAAAGGCGGGAAGCGGGAAAATGGGCCCAAGGCAAACTAAACTACCACCTACCTACGTAGGTGGTTTACTTTCTCATGGGCTTCACTACCTACCTATCTACCTACCTACCTATACCTAGGTAGGTAAGTAAGTACTCAGTGTATAATGGAGGTAGGTGCCTAGGTAGGTTGTGTAAGAAAAATGAAATAAAGAGTAACAAAAAAAAAAGGTTAGAAGGGAAATGGCCTCAGTTCAGCCAACCGGTGTAAACAATCTTTCCCCTCCCTTCTGGCCGTTCTTCTCGTTCGTCTCTCTCCTTCTGTCTTGATCCATCTCAGTTCCAGGTCACTTGTTTCTTTTTCTTTCTACCTACCTAGGTCAGCTAGCGTACCTAGATCAGGTACTTTACGTAGCTCCCTTGCTAGCTGCCCACTAAAGACAACGTCACCGTCCAAGTCTAACAGACCCGCTCACATCACATGGCTGTTGTTTACTGTCCCTTTTCTTTTTCTTACTCTCCAAGTTCCAGTTCCGTCGAAACCCCGCACCAGTTCCCCAGAAACACGGCTCCATCCTGGCCTGTTTCGCTGCAATCACACCGAACCAACAACACCCCTAGTCGCCTTCGGCAGTTCCAGACCGCCGCCCATCGTCACGCACATGGCTGTGCTGCTCTCCGCTGTTGTGTTGTGTTGTGTTTTGTTTTGTTTTGTTTTGCCTTGCCTTGTCTGAGTGTGTGTGCCTACCCACCGCACCTTTCCCCTGCACTTACTTACCCCAACCGCAGAAATACCTACCTACCTACCTACCTACCTACTACGGTAGTAGTTAGAGAAGAGTGCTACCTACTGATGGTACTTACACCAACTTGGCGCGGGCCCCAAGTGCACACCGTGGTTGCGAATGCAGAAAAAATGAGGCCACGAGAACTAACCACCTGCCAACCCGTCCGAGAGTCATGCGGCCCGTCTTGGACGCATGGTGTGCGATTGATCGTCGTCCCCCTGCTGCTTCAACCCGTTTCCACCTTTGACCCACGATGTATCGCTCTCTCTGTGCTCGCTCTCGTCTACGAGATGCATCATGCATGGCATGACCTTGGCTTCTCTCATCCGTGGAGCGAGGTTCGCAGGCCAAGCCCAGCCCATGTCACCACAGCTAACTAGGTATCTATCTGGTCATCGAAATTTCCCTCCCTTCTGCTTGCTTCGCCAGCGCTGCCCGCCGTCATGGCCGCATCATGTTTCGAGGGACTTGTCCAAGGTTGGTTCACCTTTCTTTCCATCATCTTGATTAAATACCCGCCGTCTTCTCTCTCTCTCTGTCTCTTTCTCTCTCTCTCTGGAGCCCGTCTTCTCTTCGCTCTCCTAGCTTGACGGCTGACAAAACATACCATATCTTGTCTTGAACCGTACGGTTCTTGGTCTTCTCACCTCGCCTTTTTGGTGTGTGTGTGTGTGTGTGTATGTGTGTATGTGTGTGTTGCTTCTAGCTGGAACCAACTGCGCAATCATCTCGCTTCTCGAAAGCTTCTTTACGCGCAGCGCAGCCTTCGCTTGGGCCCAAGGTCATTTCAAAGTTTCTTTGCACAGGCGCTTCGTCCCGAGATCGCTTTGCCTTTGCGCTGACACGCTGCGCCGCTACATCCCATCCCAAGTCTGTCGATCAGGGACGGCGTTGGCGTGCCCCGGTCCCCAGCCGCCACACCGTTTGCCCCTAGAGTTTGACACTGGTTCGCTTCGCTCTTAAGGAACGGGGGAGCCGGACTCTTTCAGCCATGAGACAGACTCTCTTCTACACCTCGCTCCTGTCGACACTGCTCGTCGCACCGGCATCAGCTCTCCCAGCTTTCTCTTCCGGCCCCAAACCGGCCCCGCATTATTACCAACCGGATCTCAGACGCTCGGAAACAGCAGCACACATGGCCAGACAAGCAGCCGATAGAAGCGGCCGCTGGCGGCCCCAGATCCATTTCTCACCACCCTCCGAATGGCTCAATGACCCAAACGGCCTCTTTATCGATTCCGAAGGCGTGTGGCACATGTATTACCAATGTGAGTCCATTTCCTGCTCGTCTTGTCCCTTTCCCCTCCCCTTACCCCGGTCTCACTCTACCTTTGCCTTCCCTGAAATTCTGTTTCCCCTTCCCCTCTTCAGCCCGGTTCATTTTTGAGTTGTGCGACGCAATGTGCAGCTTGGTTCCGGACAAGCGGTTACCTACACGTTTGCCAGTGCGCTGTGACTCGCGCATTGCCGTCCATCTCATTGGGTCTGTCTTTTGCACCCGTGCTAGTTCCCGTCAGCGTGGTGGTTGCGTCTCTGCCAAAAATGGGAAGCATCACATGCGCAACGATGAATGAGCGTTGTAGTCTCACCCCGCATTCTCGGGCGAAAAACGAGACAGTGCATTCACCCCGCACCCACCCACATTCGCATTTGTCTCGTGCGCCACTGCTTCCATGAGGCTATACCAAGTCTGGCCTGGCCCGTGTTCTCCAACGTCACCGGGGGAGGCCTTTTTGTTTTTTTATTTTGTTTTGTTTTGTTCTGTTGTTACTTTTACTGATCCGGTGATAGATGCCGATAACGTCGCTGGTGACGGTGTCAAGCATTGGGGCCACACGACGGCCACCAATTTCTACGACTGGGTTGACCACCCTGTCGCCATCCCGGCCACCGCACGCGACGGTTCCATATGGTCAGGAAGCGTCGTCGTCGACCGCAACAACTCATCAGGCTTCTTTCCTTCCAACAAAACCAGCGGCAATGACAACATCATCGCCTACTACACCTCGTGGGAGCCGGATCAAGAGTCCCAGCACGTGGCCTGGTCCTACGACGGCGGCCAAACGTTTAACCAGTATGCGGGCAACCCCATCATCTCGCTCAACAGGCACGGGTTCCGCGACCCCAAGGTCTCCTTCCACCACGAGACAAACACGTGGGTCATGGTCTTGTCCCGGGAGAGCGAGGTCGCCTTCTACACCTCCAAGGACCTGGTGAAGTGGGATCAGTCGTCCATCTGGAACCCGCAACGCAATATCGGCCTCATCGAGTGTCCCCAGTTCCTGCAGATCCCGCGAAAGGACAAGTCCGGCAGCGTCGTTGGCGCCAAGTGGGTTCTGACGCTCAGCCTGGGAGGCGGCGGCCCCGGCGGCAGCGCTGCTGTCAGGTACCTCACCGGTGACTTTGACGGCACCACCTTCACGCCCGACGCGCCCTCCGGTCGCGCCGCGGGGAGGGACCTCCACGCGCGCCAGGACACCTTCACCCTGTACGACTTTGACTTCGGCCCCGACAAGTACGCCACCGCCTTCTTCCACTCCCAGCACCTCAACGACGCTGCCGAGGATGCATACTCGGTCGCCTGGGCCGTTGACGCGAGCCAGTACGCCTGCTGCACGCCGACCGACCAAGAAGGCTGGCGTCACTGCATGGGCGGCGTGCGCCGCCACTGGCTCGACGCCAGCACCAACAGGCTCATGTCGGTGCCGGCAGGCGACCTCTCCAAGCTCCAGACGACGAAGCCCGGCTGGAACCCCATCGTCGAGGAGAAGGGCGTCTCGGGCCTCGAAGGCAGCAGCGCCGTCATCCGGGACTACAACCCCGCCGTCGAGTGGACGCTGACCGTCCGCATGGCCAAGTCCCTGCTGACGGAGGGCTCGACCGCTTCGGCCCAGCTAGTGTTCAAGGCCTCCCAGTCCGCCGGCAACGAGTCCGTCTCTCTCGGCCTCCAGTTCGTCGGCAGCTCTGGCAGCGGCGCCCCCTCGGCGAGCGTTAACATCGGCCGCGTCAGCACGGCATGGGACCGGGCCGGCACTTTTGCCGTCTCCGGCGTCCAGGCCCTCGACGCCGCTTCGGGGGAAGGCGCCGACCCCAAGGTCGAGTTCACGCTGCACGGCATCCTCGACCGCTCCCTCCTCGAGGTCTACGTCAACGGCGGCGTCGAGGCCGGCACCATGCTCTACTTCACCGACAAGCCTCTCGACAGCATTACTCTCACCCGCGGCTCCGGCACCAGCGACCAGGGCATCACCTTCGACTTCAAGGCTACCGCGCTCAAGAGCTCGTGGGGCACGTACGAGGAGAAGACCGTTCCCCAGAAGGACAAGTGGATCACGGAGGAGTTGTAATGAGAGGCCCTGCTTCCGTTAGCACGCTGCGGTCCGCGGTGCTGGACGGGCTTGATGACGGTGATCTCCTTCGCGGATTTTTGTTGTGGGGGGGCTCATGAGACCGCTTCTGAGCCCCCTGGTGATATAGGAGTATATTTCTTTTTTTCTACGAAGGGCTTCGACGCCCATCTGCATGAGGCATGACACATGGCACACGAGATGAGATCCCTCGAGCGTGAAGGGAGATTTATATTTATCCGAGTACATAATCCACCCGTATTGCTAGCTGGTATCCATACAAATTAATCATTCTCATTTATTCCCATGCTGCATCCTACGCCCTCTGCAAACGGGCTCTTCTCCGTGATTACCAGACATCAGAAGCCAGCGGGCTCCGCAGCGACACACCAAGCGCCCGTCTTTGAGCTCACCTGCAGATACGGTTGTTATGCCCGGGGGATTAGGGGGGCGGTTGAGGGAGGAGTTTCTCTCCGCCCACCTTTATCCGATTGCTTTCTTTCACCACGGGATTTCATGCGGGACCTCCCCGGCCTGCTTTCCGCTTTCAAGCCATCGGGTTTGCGATCATGAGAAGGGCCGGGATCGCACAAGTAGGAGAGATCCTACATCGCCACGTCGGCCTCCATCACCCCTCGGCCACTTTTACCTGCAGCTCAGCTGTTCCTCCAAAGACGTCGTCGAGCCCTTGTGACAACAACAACAACAACAACAACAACAACAACAACGATAACAACAACAACGATAACAACCCTCCAACAACATGAACGACAGCCCGCCACTCACTCGTCTATCCAGATAATCTTTTGTCTCACATCCTCGTCCCCTCTCAAGCCCTTTTCAAACTATCGTCCGACACGTAACAAACGGGGAAAAAGGGGGGGGGGGGGCGGAGAGTGTTCAGACTCGTCTCACCACGCACGCCTATAAAACCGCACTTCGCCTGCTCCCCCGCACAACCTCAAATCTGGGCTACATCCACGTCCCTGCTCGCCTAACCCCCTCGAGAGAGCGTATGGAAACTATATAACACACGAGCCTTTACACGCAAAACTCAAGCAACCCAAACAGCACGGCACACCGCCTTCCATACATACGGTCAGGAGGAAAGCCAAGGAAAAAAAAGAAGAAGAGAAAGAACGGCGGGCCCAGTCGTCCCGCCGCGGAGGGGGGGGGGGAGGACACTCTCATCCGACCTCCCTTGTCCAACCCCCCCCCCCCCTCGATAAACAGTCGGCCGTGTCTTGCGATGCCGAGAAAGTGTAACCATCGACGCCCAAAAGCTCGCATGAAAAAACGTCCTCGTCCACATCAGAACTGGGCCTGACGCCCGATCCGACGTGTCCGTGAGCATTAGCCTTTCTGCAATGTTAAGGCTCGGTTTCTTGGCCCGTGGAACATTCCATGTAGGCCCGGCCCCGTCCACTCATCTCATCGCCCGGAAAGGTAGGTGGTTGTCGAGAGTGAAACAGGTTCTTTTAATTACACTCGTATATATGTATCTTGAGCTCAATAAACCAATTCTCAAGTCGAGGCGCCTGAACCTCGGCTCAAACCCAGTTAACCGCAAGAGGGTGTTTCCCATCTCTGTACGCCAAAAAGAACAACCGCCCCATTCCGTAAATATGTTAAACACGTCTATATCGTACCAAATCCGGGTCAAAGATGATATACATGTATGCCAGGAGGGAACAAGAAAAAACCATACACTCGCCCATCTGCCGGCCGCTTCCACAATCAAAACAGTTATTTACTAACCGGCCCATCAGCACCGCTCCGGGTGCCATGTCTCGTGTCCCGTGCCCCATGACGACTGAGCCGAAAAAGTCGCCGAGCCGGCCAGAGCCGTGTGTTGATTCTGGCTTCAACTCTGCCTTCTCTCACTGAATACGCTTTGTGATAGGCAAGGGGAAGCATCGACAGGTAGAAATAATAAAGAGTAAAATGAGGGAAAGGTAAAGGGTATATGAGGGTATCTAATAGCCGAGTCCAGCGCCGGCAGCCACAATCTCCCGCCGGAATCTCCGCTTCACGTCAGCATCGCGGTCGGCATCTCTGAGAGCATCGTTAGGGTCGACCTTCTTGTCGCCCTCCTTCTTTCCTCCTTCCTTCGTGGCGCCCTGCTTGTCGTCTTTCGGCTTTGGGGTATGCTCGCCGGACGGGGGTGGGGGAGGGACTTTAGAGGGATCGGCCTTGGGGTCACCAGGCTTTCCTGTCTTGTCGACGGGTGCATGCTCATCCTTCAGCTTTTCTTTTTCCTGCTTGATTTTTTCGGCGGCCAGCTTATCCGCTCGCTGGTCGTCTTCCAAAGCGTCGTCTTTGGCGGGCGAGACTTTTTTTGCTTCGCCGTTGAGGGTCGCCAGTGCAGCGCTGTCGAAAAGATGAGCGGCATCGCCACTCGTCATAGCGTATTTGGTTGAGTTAAGAGTCTGACCGAGCAAACTCGCCTGGGTGTCGAGCTTGCCGTAGAATGCATTGATCGGACCCTCTTCTAGGTAATTAAGACGGTGACCGCATCGAGCACCGAGCACGTCGCGAATCTTGGGGTCGGAGCTGCAGCAGTTGCCCCAGCAGTCGCTTATACGCTCAACAATGGACACGTACGGGTTGCGGCGGCGGCTCTGGTCGATGATGTGCACGATCGTAGGAATGGCAACCTCGTGGAAGACACCAAAGCCGGCAAAGATCTCGGACAAGAAGATGTAATCGGCAAAGAACCGTCGGGGAATGTAGTAGATGTCACTCCACCCGACGCAAAACTCGTCCCGGCGAATCTTGTACTCGAGGCCAAAGTTGTCCACCACTGACGCCGCAGCCATGGCGGTGCGGTGGAAGTCCTGTCCCCACCCCCACCAGTTGTAGCCCTTGATCTCCGTCAGACACATGTATTCGGGTCCGCCATGGGATGGCGGGGCAGTGTCAAGGACGGCGGGGAAATGGATGTTAAAGGGATTCATGCCAGTCCAGCCGAGCGGATCGACCCAGGCATCGAAATGGTAATACATGAGCCCGTCGATCTCGGGCTGAGTGTCCAGGATAAGTTTCATGGTGCGAGACACCTGCTTGTAGACGGTGAAGGTACCGGGGAACTGGTCATGGGTCAGGTTGTGGAATTCGGGGTCCTCATCCTTGAACATGTTCGGCATGGAGATGTGCACGGTGTGGAAGAACGGCTCGTACTTCTGCAACAAGGGGATGCGTTCAGGGTGTGCAGAGTTCCATCGGATCATGGCCATGGTGTTCTTGAAAGGAGACTCGACCGTGCTCTCGCTGCCGGTAACGGGCTTGGCTCCGGAAGACACCGACGCCGACGACGCTGAGCCTCCCTCCTTGGCGAATTCGGGCATCCTGGCTTCCGACATGGTAAGGAACGCCACGATGAGAACTGTAACAAAGGTGGCGACAGCGAGGAAGATCTTATTGAACATTCTTGCAACAGCTGCCATCTTGCCAAACAAGGACAGTCTTTGGGGCTCATTGGCCGGAGGGTTGGGGTCCTTAGGAGGCGGGTTGTCCATGTACAGCCAAGAGGCAACGAAGACGACCACAGTACCAGGCAGAACCAGGAAGCTGAGTTTGGTGCCGAACAGAACGGGCGAGACGTAAAGTAGAATGCCGGTCGCGACTGCCGTGGCGAAGCACTTGATGACGGCGTCGGCGTCTGAACAGAGTTAGCAGGTGCGCAGCGGCAAACTGTGTTGTAGCAACTCACACTTGTAGACAGCAGTAATCGCAAGGCCGATGAAGACGTTGCTGACAATGACCATGATAGCGCCGAAGCTGTTGTAGCCCTCAAAGAAGCCCGGCTCGTCGGCCTTCAGGGTCCTAATGACCACGTGACAAAGTAAATTCATCGAAGCACCAGCGCCGTAGAGAATCATGTTATCGGCGTGCAAGCTTGAGTCGTCCGTCTTGAGAAGCGCCTGGTTATACACACCCGAGGACGCACTCAAGAAGACCTGGAAGAGCAGAATGAAGTAGGTGCTGAACGGGTATGTCGTGCCGGTCTGGGGATTGTACTGGGTCACCATCAAACCGCAAATCTATACCATGTTAGAAGTGGGAACAGACCGTCAAGTATCACGGCGGTGGCACTCACCTGCATCAGAATGGCGATCCATTGGATCTTGGAAATTTTGGTGTTCAGAGTTGCAATCATGACCAGGGCGGTGATAAAGGTGACACCGCTCTTGGTCAACTGAATCGTACCGGGATCGGCCATCTTGTAGCTGACGAAGATCTGGGCATGTTAGTTAAAGGCTCGACATGATAGAAGGGTCGGTCAGCCGGCACTGCATACCGAGTTGTTGATGAGCACGTAGAACAAGGCCAAATTACAGAAGCCATATCTGACGTCTTTGGTCACTTCCCCACGAACATAGCGCCAGTAGGTTCTGAAGTTGAGCGGGGGGAGCGGGCGGTTGTGCTTGTCGACGCCATTGGCATTACTCGACGAGCTGGAGCCACCGTTCAGCGCGTCTTCTTCCCGTTTCTCTTCCAAACTGCTTCGCTCGGCCAAAGGTAGTAGTTCTGAAGTGGCGAGAGAGGAGTAGCCGCTACCGCCTCCACGGGTCGACGGGAGGACGCCGTCGGCGGCTCTACGCTTGCATTCGTTCCAGAAGAAGATGGTGGACAGAACCATCTTGAAGAACTCGGAGATGGTGACGGACGCCGAGGGGGAGAAGGAGTAAGAACCGCCGGTCTGGGAGATCTTCATGATGATGCCAATGCCGACCTGGATCGCGACCAAGCCGAGGGCGGCGGCATAAGCGGCTTGTTGAGGGCCACCTGGAATCCATCCTAGAGGCTTGAGGAAGAACCCCAATACGCTACCGTGTCGTAGCATGACGACAACTGCCAGCCGCTGGGGTGGCGGTTCAGTCAGAGTCGGGTCGGTTGCTCAGTATGGGTCAAGAGATGACTTCGATCGAGTCGCGGCGAGGATGGTGAATGGCGAACTTCGATGAATTGGCAACGGACAGGAGAAAGAAGCAGCAGCGGTTCGGGAGCCGCGCAGTAACTGGCGACTAGGATAGTGGTGCTGTGGTAGTGCAGGAAAAGAAGGCCTTGCCTTTAAGTTTCCTAAGGGCGGGGGAATGACACTCGCTGAGCCGTCGTGTTCGTTACGCGCATCGAGACTCTCTGTGTTCGCCGACCGACTCGCACGTGGTGGTTTCGAGGGTGGATCAACGCAGTCGATGCAGTCTCCGTCTCCGTTTGCGATGGTTACAGGATAGCAGGGTGGAAAAGTGTCGCTGGGTTTGGTTCGGAGGGAAGGGAAATAAAATTGACAATTCTTGAGCAGGAGGGACGGGGGAGAGGGAGCAAGAAGCAGTGTCCACAGTCGAAGCAAGGGAAGGGATATGCTAAAGGGGGGAGGGGCGTAGTACAGTAGGGGCGGATCCCGGCAGGTGCCTGGTCGAGGTGCTGACTACACAAGTACCACCTAGATGGTGACTTTCCCATCCTGGTCCACGTACAGTGTCAGCAGTCTTTGCCTAGAATGTACTTTCTGAAGCTCCCTCCTTTTTTTTTTTTTTTTTGTCGGTTGGGGGGGGGGGGGGGGGGGGGGGGGGCAAGGAGCATTTGGCGAACAGCCAAGCGGTTCCAGCAGAAGGGGAAAAGTGCGGGTGCATATGGGGCCATTGGGAGACAATAGGATCGCCTTTCATTGGCTGTATGCGACATGTAGAGGGCCACTAAAGCACTGTCGGGGCCCCTTTCGAACGCGCCCCCTCAATCTGTGAGCTCTCTAGTAGTAGGTACCTGTATCCATAGTGTACAGGGACCATGAGGGGAGCCACGGGGGACCCAAGGGGGGCATGAACGGGCTAGCCCATCAGCATGGCTGTGTTTTCAAGATGACTGGAGGCGCCGCACTGTGTCTATATTTGAAGGTGGCCCAGCTCTGATGTCGGCACGACCGACGTCAGTCAAGGTCCGGGTATCGTCTGGTCTGGGCTTCTATGCACTGGACACTGATACCTTGCAAGGCTCGGTTAGACACGCCATGCCATACAAAGATCCGACGAATCTACCGTGGGGCCCCAGAAGATGTGGTGGCACCGAGACTGGGAGATGGTGATAGCCTTGCCAGTTTTCTCCCGATAAATGGCTTGCTGGGGGGGTTAGTTAGGACAGGCCTGCCCGGCTCGTCCTGACTGGTTCTTCGCTGCGCTCTGCAATGGAAGTCGTAGCTAATCAAACCTTACTTCGAAAACAGTTACAATGATGCTCTGACCGGCAAGGGTAACTGGGGCACAGCAAGCCCTCTCGCCCATTGTCACAAACCAATGCTAGGCATCGCTGTTCCGGTTTGATTGTTCCCATTCATGCTGTGAAGTGAGTATGCCGCTGTAAGAAAAGGGTGCCAATGGCCACTCAGCACCTGTACCTAGGTACACCACAGTACGGAAACAAACCCCGTGATTCGATGTAAGGGTGCGTGTGCGGCTGGCCCATTTCAATCCTGCTAATGTCTCGTAAAGTGGCTGCCTATGGTGACGGCTGGTAAAGACGACGATGAGTTGCCACGGATTCGACAGCTTCCGCACCTACAGTAGCTTCTTTCTTTTCATCTCATTTGTCCCCCAATGGATGGGTGGGTGGATGAATGACTACGTCTTCGATGTGCTGTCTCAGGTCCGGTTGCTCTTCTCTTCTTCACCTTCGGTCTATTCTTACACGTAGCGAATGGCTGATAACCATTTCCGGTTGAGGTTCGCGCGCGTTCCCACACACTGTGAGGTGGGTCCACACTCCGCCACCAGGGTACGACACAGTGTTCTCTCTATACCCGATCCTCCGCACGACGGGGCCGTCGGAATGCGTCTCACTCAGCATCGGGCTCGTAGTGGGATGAGCAACCAGCTCACCTTGAAGGAGAATCGAACCCTCATGAGTAGTACATGCCACCATCTCAGGACACGGCTTTGACGAACTGTCTCAGTAAGGCCGAAGCCGAGACTCGAGGATCACGGCGCATTGGTTCGCTTGGAACAGCCCGAGATGCTTATCTCTCCAATGCTCGTACAGAGGCCCCACCCCCTGTCTCTGGATGCTCTGGCTTGATAGGACGGACACCAAAAGAAGCCAGGTCAGACAGCTTCGATGTAGCCAAGCGATTGAAGAATTGCTCCTCTTGTTTCGCTGGGCAGACATGTCCAGCAATGATTGGCGACAACCAAAAAAAGGACGTGGCGAAAAGGGGTGTCACAGCGACGCAAATCTGATTGACGGGCTGCATGTAGAAACTCGTAACTCTTATCGACTTTCTCAATCTGTGAGCCGATAGTGGGTAGGTTCCCGCTCCCAATATTTTATACTTTCCGTGCCAATGTTTCTCGCTCTGCAACCTCTTGGCTCATCTGCGGCCGAAGGATGTTCAAGACGGCTTCCCTCTCGTATCCGGGCACTAGGTTGCCTTACGCAGCCATCCCTGCCACACACACACACACACACACACACACACCCCTGCACCCTTCTGTCGCGTAGAAGCAAAAGATTGCTGGAATCTTCAGGACATCCTCACCAAACCGTTCCAGTGCACTGGAGTCGATACCATGGAGAAAGAAAAAAAAAATACTCCGCGTCGTCAGCTCACAGCCCTGCCGTGTGTGGGCATGACCTCATAGATGCCATGGCGTTTCCAGTTGTCCTTGAGCTAATCGATGGCATGCGCCCATCATCGGCCAGCCAGAACAGAGCCTCCTTCGGCGCAAGGTAGAAGAGATTCGGACGCCTCGTTCGTCTTCTCTTTTCTCCGGCCCTTGCCTGGCCCCAGATTGTAGGCCACGCTGTCTCCTCCCGGCACTCATCAGCTTGCTCACCCTCGACGCGCATCCAGCACAACATGTCCCTGTACGTGGTACGGGCCTTGACAGGGGGGAAAGTGAGGCAGGAGGAACAACCTCGGGGCATGAAACAGCAGAAAACTTTATCTGAAAGGGACGACTCCCGGGGGTTTCCAAGCATCTTCCCTCGACCAGACGCCCTTCGCTCGGTAGCTCCGGGGTCAATCAGACATATCAAAGGTGGCCCATTCCTATTTTACAGAGTCTATCCGTCTATCCGTCTGTCAGTGTATCCTTGGCGATGATCGGCAAGCGCGCCTCGACGAGTCAAGCACGCTGTTTCAGGATCGGTGACGCCGGCATCTGACGCAATGTCGTGGGCGATTTACCGCTACTCTACCACGCGCTCACACGCTCTTTCTCTCATCCGGCCCGTCTGACTGATGAGATGTCCTCGTTCCATAGCATCTCCCCCAGCTATCCCATCTCGTACAGACTCCCGCCCAGTTGCGCCCAGCAACGGCAGCGTACAGACGCCAATAGCCATCGGCGTACGGGTAGGCACAGTACAGTATCATAATCCTTCTTCTTCTTCTTCTTTTTTTTTTTTTTTCTCAGTCTGACTTTGGTCTCCCCCCTTACGAAGGTACCTTGGGTGGTTTAGAATTGTGTTTGAGGCTGCGGATCGATCCCATCAACTAGTGTGCGATGTACCGTATCCAAGGTCAAACAAGACTTCGTGACATGCTGCTTCATCCCCCAGTGGCAGTAAAGTCTACTACGGGATTGCCACGGCCAAGTCAAGGACCAACCCTCGACGTACAAACCTTGTACATAGTCCTGTATTTCACTATTTATTCATTTTTATTTTATTTTTATCTCTACTTATCATTATCAAGCGGCTGCAAGCCGAAACGAGCAGCCCCGGAAGCTCTGCCAGCCAATCGCCGACACCGTGTGGCTCATCCATTGTCAGCTCATTAGCACACGCCAATCTCGGCCACCCACAGCACCGCTGATTGATTCACATTGCTCTGAATGCGCTACGTGCCGCCAATCAAGGCCACAGCCTTGTCGTGCACGCACATGAACAAATCCCTGTTCCCGCGTCAGTTGCCCCTGCCCCTGCATCTCCACCAATCCCACGCAAGGCTGATAGCATGGGCAAGTCTGGGCAGGTCCGATTACTAGCACCTACCACAGCGACCACAGTAGGCGCCTTAGTGTAAGACATCTGTAGGTACACTGCTGGTCACCATACCTAGCCCCTTGACCTTTGCCCCCAGGACTGTCCCATCAACAACTTAGAGTTCCGTGGTATCCAGACCACGACCAAGAGGTAAGACAGCACAGTCTGGCATCGAAACCCGAATTTGAGACGTGCTCACTATCTAGTGTACGGCAGGGAGAGCGAGGGCTTTTTTATCCGAACTTGTACGATCGGTGATGTCATATCTATCAGAGGTGAGGTCCTTTGTCATAGCGCTCGGGCTGTTTGGAAAGAGCGTTTTCCTTGCGCAACAATCTGATTGCAATCACACTTGTCCATCTTTGCCCAGGCAGAGAAGACCAAACAAACAATGGTCCGTTGAGGGCCAACGGCCGCCAGCCAGCCTTGGCCGATGAACCAAACCCATCTCTTGTTCTGCCCGTCCATTTATTCATCTATCTTCATCTTCATCATTTATTTATCTATTTTCTGGCGACAGATGCGTGGCTCTTTGAGCGGAGAGGCGCCTCGCCTCCTCTTGATTACGGTACACATCTGCGCAAGAGAAGGAGCTTCGTTCCGGACATTAATTGGCTGGACGGGAAAAGGGTGTCGTAAGCGGCACATAAAATGGAGGGAGAGACGAGAAAAGCTGTGATCGTGGCCTGATGATTCAACTTGGGATTCAGCATCGTATCTAGATGAGACTACCGGTAGACTTCGTGTGGGGGACATGGGGACAAGCCCACGAGGCCAACCTCCGCCAAAAAGACAAAAGAAAAAGAGGGTTGATATTCCTGGTGGCCTAGGTAGCTCGGGCGTCTGGTCTGGGCAGGGGTTCGCAGCACAGTACCAACTCGTACTGCGCCGACTGTCTCCGGTCGGGACGCTCGACCGGCTCCACTACTACGGTACAATTCACCACGACGGCCTAGAAGGCTAGGTATTCCCCGGGTCGGTACATATTTGACAGCTGGCGCCACCGTTGGCAGAGCCTGCGGATTCAGCAATCAACCCGGGTTGTACTAAGCCGCGTTGATCCACTATTAGTGATGCGGCACAGAAGGGACCCTTACTCCCTCCCTGTCCATCAACCACATATCACCTGGTACTTTTACCCGGACCACGGCTGTCACTTACCTTGAAGTCATGAACGGAGCAACGATGGAGTAGAGGAAAAAATGCCACCGTATAGACGTGAGGAAGAAGAAAAGGTCCCTGAGACGAGGGAAATGGCATGTTTCCTGGCAATACAAGCTGGGGAGGTAAACTAGCCAAGGCAGGGGACCGTAGTCCAGGTACGGATGCAGGGCGTGCGAGGACAGGGAAGAAAACCGAGACTGACAGGCCTACACTAGAAGAGGCGTCGAGTGGGTGGGAGTGTGGGTAGCGGTTAACAGGCAGACACTTTGCGGGTCAAACCTTAGCATCTCAGACTATCTCAAAGTACTGACCCACCTCCTCTTAAGTCACTTTTGTCCCCACACCACCAACTCCAAATTCTCTACACCACTAACTTCAAATTTTTAACACTAAGTCAACAAGAAAAAAAAAGCCTTTTTAATAGTATATACTACACCTTTTATACTATACCTAAGATCCTCTATATTTAGGAGAGTAGTTCTAGGGGTAAGTTTCTCTAAAAAGTTAATTTATGCTACTAAATTCTAGATGCACCTTAAGCTAATAGAGCTATCTCTGTTTTCTTTTTTTCTTTTGTAGGAAAAGGGTAAGCTGGTCTGTGCGTAGGTCTGTGCAGAATTAAGCGAGAGACTTTAAGAGGTACTTTGATGACTCAAGTGCTGCCCCGCAATGTGTCTGCCTGTTAACCGCTACCGGAGTGTGTCCTTTGTCGGTCCCCTAATGGGATAGGGTTGGGGGCCCACTGCCGCACCGCGGCCAACCATTTGTTCATAGTTCAGGGAAAAAAAACAAAAAAAAAGGACAAAAGAATTCTACGCCGGCCTTTATGGTGACCGCTTCATGAGCATCTCCCTTTTCTGAATCAAGTGTAACCCTGGAATCCCACTATGAATCAATTATAGTTCTAGGTTTCAGCTATCCATTTTTCCATCTCACGCATACTGTCTGATGTCCTCCAAGTCCCTGTCTTCCCTTGCGAATGTCTTGCCGTGTATTCCGACTGTATTTGGGTTCCATCCGTACCTGTGCAGCCTTTACGGGAGCCGCCTTGGCCACGTATCTACTGTATCTCGACTTTCAGAGGACTCGGCCGAGGTGCTTGCTTACTGCTTTAGGGGGCGAGATCGCATCCACTCGCTACTACGGATAGGTACTTACTGTTGCTTGTCGGAGGGGTGTCTCCACGCTGCTACCAGGATATGGACCCTAGAATCCTAACATCACCTTCCGTCCCTTACCTTACTGTGTACGTATCTTTTTTCTTGGGTGGGTGGGTACCTTAAGGTCTTAAGGTGGGAAAGAGGGACACCTACCCCCCCTCATCAGCCGGGCCATTTCTCTTGAGCACTTCAAACTCACAAATCCTCTCCTTAAGCCTCCCTTCTTTCTCTACCTTGAAGTCTTGGGTCGGAAACCCGTAGTGTCGCATTCTGCCCATCTTCACCAACCTTTGCTGGAAATAGAAAGCACGTCACCGGTGCTTTATCCGTCGCGTAACCACAGCTGCGCCATCACGCAGCTTCTACCCCAAGGGTCCAGTGATATTTCCATCGTTCGCGACAATCTGCTATTCCCGTCCCGTCTTGGACTCTGCAACACATTCCAACCCCATCCCGCCAATCTTCTTTCGCAAACGGCCAACACCACCTTCACACAGAACCCGATCGTCGACTCTTTCCTGTCACAATGGCCCCATCAAAGGCAGCCGCCAACGGCGCTGCTGCCGCTGCTACCAACGGCGACATCAACCGCGAGCCCATCAACGTCATTATTCCCATCGGCGGCATTGGCTCTCGCTTCGCAAAGGAGGGTTACCGCTACCCGAAGCCGCTGATCAACATTGTTGGCCGGCCTATGCTGCTGTGGCTTATTGACAACCTTAGCCTTAAGCCTGGCGACACCCTATGGATGGCCATCAACGAGGAGGTCGACGACGAGTTCAGAATCGGTCAGCTCGTGAGCAAGACCTTCTCCAAGATCGACTTCAGACTGCTGCGCTTGCGTCACCAGACCAAGGGTGCTAGTGAGACGGTAAGCCTCTGAACCTGACCCTCGCGAGCTTCCCTGTCGCACGGAGCGGCCACAGAGGGGTAGGGGAGCAAAATGGGGTGTGCGTTGCTAAAGGATTTCCGCCCTCGTAGCTCTTCATCGTGACCCAGAGTATGACCAAGAAGCACCTCGAGCGCAAGACCGTCTCCCTCGACTGCGACACCATTTACTGGGCCGACATCCTCGAGGACATCCGTAACATGCCCAAGGGCCATGGCGGCTGCTTCTACTTCCCCGACATTGGTGACAAGCCCATTTTCTCTTACATTAAGACGGAACCCACCCAGTGAGTGAAACTCGGCTGCGCGGCGCAGGATGCTTCCTGCTTCTCCAACGACATGTCTAACAGAGCACCTCCTCAGGGACGGCTTGGAGCGCATCATCGATATCCAGGAGAAGAAGGCTATTTCCAATAAGGCGAATACGGGCGCGTATGTCTTCCCGTCCGCTGCCCAGCTCAAGTCGTGGGCTGCCGAGAACCTTGACATGAAGAGGCCCGATGGCTCCGAAGTGGGCGAGTACTACACCTCGCAGATGATCGCTCTCATGATCCAGAACGGCGTTCCCTACCTGGGCATGCCCGTCAGCACCAAGGACTTCAGCGTTGTCGGCACGCCCGAGCAGCTCAAGGACCTCCTGAAGCTGCTCAAGACCGACACCTCCAACCTCCCCATCAAGCTAAAGAAGCGTCGTTTCTGCTTCGACCTCGACATGACCCTAGTCGGTGTGCCTGCCGTGGCCGGAGACTATTCCACCTGCCCTCCCATTGAGAAGAACATTCGCCTCGTGCAGCAGCTGTATAACGCAGGCCACTATATTATCATTGTAAGTCGAGTTCGGGTGCCTGACGTGAACCACAGTTGCATTCTAGATACCCTCGCTAAGACATCAACAGCAAACGGCGCGTCGCATGCGGACACATCACGGAAATCTGGGCTCGGTCCTTGCGGATGTCGGTCCGGTTACCTTTGCCCAATTGGCCAAGTACGAGATTCCCTACCACGATATTCATTTCGGCAAGCCCTACGCCGATGTCTACGTCGATGACCTGGCGGTCAATGCCAACTTGGATACTATGCGGGAGATTGGTTGGCTTCTGGACGAGCAGGACCCAGCTGCGCTGATCGGGCAAGATGCGGGCACCGCCGAGGATGCGAAGAAGGCCGGCATGATCGCCGCTCGCGACTTCAACACCATCCAGATCATTGGTGATAAGGTGATCAAGTCAAGCAAGTCGGAGAACATCCTCGGCGAGCTCTTCTTCTACTCCCACATGCCCGCCGAAATCGCACACATCTTCCCGACTGTGTACAACGTCGACTACATCCCCGACACCACCACCTACAACATCACCATGGAAAACCGCCGTGGCTTGACCTTCTCTCACCTTCTAGTCGGACGCTCAATTACCAAGGGCCGCCTCATCTCCTTGCTGAAGGCTCTCCACTCTGTCCACACCACAGCCAGCACCGACAAGGCCACTCTCAACATTCCTAGTGCTCTGGAAAAGAAGTTTGAAGAGCACTCCCTTGCCCGGGCGAACAACCGCGTCAATATTTACGCGAACTACGGCTCGAAGCTGCGTAGTCGGTACTACCAGAACCAGAATAAGTACGATGCACTTGGCCCCCTGGCCGCGTCTCTTTTCGCCCGGATTAATGAGTTCCTCGATACCTACGAGGCCGAGGAGAAGGGTGTTCATGCGCAAGTCATCCACGGTGACCCCGTCTTCAGCAACGCCATCCTCTCCAAGGACGAGAAGCTTGTTAGCTTCATCGACGTGCGCTGCCAGCTTGAGAACACCTTAACCCCCGAGGGTGACATCCACTACGATCTCGGCAAGGTTTTACAGTCCCTTTGTGGTTACGACCACATCCTCTTCATGAGCGCCAACAACCACGACCTGCGCGGCGCTCTCGATAGCGACCAGCCCCTTCTTGACGAGGCCGACTCGGACCTACTCTCGAGTCTACAAGAGCACTTTTTCACCTTCCTCGAAGAGACGTACTCCGTACGCCTGCACCGCAAGACCCTCTTCCGTATCACCGCCTCTCTCTTCTTCAGCCTCATTCCCCTGCACCGACCGGAGTTGGGCGCCGTCTTCCTGCGCATGTGCAAGGAGACTCTTGACAAGGCGAGCAACATCAACTACGGCCCCGGCACGCGATCCACGGCAGGCGCTACGCTTAGCCGGCGGGCCAGCTCCAACTTTGGCGGAGAGGAGAAGGCCCGTGAGATGCCCATCGTTTCTGGCAAGGGAGAGAATCTCTCCATTCCTAATGTCGTCGTCACGGCGAAGTAGGTGAGAGGCGAGAGATGTCGTAAGGTGTAGGTAATTGTCGGGGTGTAACCGGGGCATGCGTAATGCGCCGAGCTGTCGGAAAGGTGGGTTTCGATGGCGGGGGTGGGGTTGCGTCGATATCACGGGCGCAGAGCTCCCGGAAGGGAAAGCGGAGAGCTTGTGTGGAGTCCCATCGCATCGGAACTCGTCCGTCTTGACGGGAGAATCATTTGCTACGTTTCACGTGCTTCTTTTTTTTGTTGTTGGAAAAATGAAAGCGTTTCGTCGGTCCTTGGGTTCTTTCTACTCTCAAGTCTACGAGTATCATGTATGACTATACCAAGATATCACATTACATTGAAAAGTGCATTCCATGTGTTGCCGCCGTTGGTGAGCTTGAAGGCGAGTATCGCTGAAAGTGTGCTGACTCGCCATTCGCCAACCCTCCTCGACCGCCTTGTCTGTCTTTTTTATTTTCCTGGGCAGAGTCTCGTGGCCACGCGATCTTTGACTTTTCTTTTCTCTTTATCTTTAAATCTCTTTTTCTGTGTCTCACTTGCCGTCCCGGGCGGTCTTGTGTCGGTGCCTCGCCAATGTCAACCCGCCGTAGGTCTATGTTTCGTTTACTCCGTGGTTTGTAGGAGTGTCCGATGCGTATGGGTAGCGGCAGCAACAACAACAACAAGAGCTGGCTTTTTTCTTGGGCGTCTTTACCGCAACTATTCGGGACGTACGAATGTCCTCCCCTCTTGGATGGAGGACAAGGTCTACCTGGCCTTGTAGTGTGTTGGGAAAGGAGGGTTAAAGAGTGTGCCCCCTTCGCCTCCTCCCCCCCCCTTTCGGGAAGCCAACAGAACAGACGGCGGGTGGCGAACCTAGAGGCGGCGGTGTCGGCGGGGACGGCAAAGCACGGCCTATAAAGAGCAAGGGGCGCTCCGGGAGCAGAGCCTCCTTGACGTCAGGCGAACTTTTTGCGCTCGTCTCTTTCCCGAGAACCTCAATTACCCATCCCAACCCCATCAGATCAACGTTTGAAATCAGTGTCTTATTGAGTCATTTCATATGTCGACACCAATTATAATCATTTGACAATCTTTCTAGATGGTCCGGGCATCCATCCCAAGGGTCGCTGGAAGAAGCGCGGATGCATCATGTTGTCAAATCTGGGAAATGACCATGACCTCCCTGAGACGAAGCCAAATTCTTGATTTCCCTCAGAAGAAGTCGACGTTGTGTCTTCTGTTTTCTAACTTCACAAATCATCACGTTGCATGGAGGAAGGAAGAAGACAGTTGGAGGAAAGGCAACGTTCGCTATCTAATTGGGACCGCCTGCAGCCACTTTGCTCATCCAAGCCACTGCCGCCTTGCTACAACGATTGAGGCCTTGTTAACCATGACCCGGAACTAGTAAACCTTTTTCATCCTCCCCCTGAGACATGAGCGATCTATCGTTCTTCTCCCTCACCTCGGTCATCCTCTCGCCATCGCCACGCTCATCACTTCTTTCGCTCGCTCCCAATGCCATCTCTCCCTGTTCATAACTCATGCTTCATTCACGTCGTTCCTCGTCCCTCATACCTTGGTCGTTGATAATCCATCGCGTTGCTTGCTTAGATGTACCACATAGTGCCCTTGAACATCTCGGTCGCCAGAGGATCGGAATCAGGGCCACCACCGCCCAAAGGCAGGAGCTGCATAGCCTCGGTCGGTCGGTCATTCTCGAACATGGACTGGCCGCGAGCACCGTACTCCTCGACCATTTCTGCAGCCTTGGGGCCAGAACGGAAGCCTTGGGACGTAGCAATGTTCTCGTGCGCACGAGCGCGACCACAAGCAAGATCCGCGTAGTAGATAGCGGGATGGAGCGAGACTGGAGTAGTTGAGCGGGCGTACGAGTAGCACTGACCGTAGAGCATGCGCTGAAGGTCGTTGGGCTTCATATTGGCCTCGTCAATCAAAACAGTGTAGTGAACAGGGCGAGCAGTGCCCTGAATGGCGACGTGGGAGCAGAGGTAGAAGTCCCACCAGAACGGGTGACAGACCTCCCGCTCCAGGAGAGTACCAGGCAACGGATTGCCATTCTTGTCGCCCTGCTGAGGGAAGAAGCGAACATGATGACGCTTGGTAGCCACAATGACAGTCCACTTGGGCTGCTTCTGTCCCTGGTACTTTTGCTCCATCAGACGCTTCATCGTCCCAACCTCATACTCAAGGACTTGGGCGTATTGCCCCTCGGATACACCGTCACGGAGGTAAATTATATGCGGCGGCGGCGCCGGGTGGTTCATGCGCTTGTGCCAGGTGGGCATCAGGCGGGCAAGGAAGTTTTTGGCGTTGATAGGAGACAGCATTTCAACGCGGTAGCCATTGGTCTCGACGGCTGCTGAGTAGAACGTCGCGTCCTGATCCATAGACATGGTCATCGAGGCCGTGGAAGGCGCATCGATACCGGGCGTGGCGTGAGACACATCGACGCCAATCATCATGGTGACTTCCTTGAAAAAGGCCGGAGCCTTCGTGGCAGGGCCGGAGGGGTGGGGAATACGACAGGTAATACCCCCGAGCTTGGCGTTGACCTTCATGGCCACATTAGAGTGGTACTGTCCCTGATTCTTTTCCACATGACGTGCAAGAACGCACTGAGTCAACAGACCAAAGCGGCAGTCGCCTGACTTCTTGACGCGTTCATAGGAGCCAGCGTTGTTGAATCTCAACACACAGAAGAGAAGCTGAGGGATGGCCCTTGTCTGGGCCTTGATTTGTGCATAGGCCTTCGCGACGGCATCGGCAACATTGGGGTTCCGGGCTTCACTGTCGATGATGATGGCGTCCTTGGCCACCTTGCCTCCATGGCCAGTGTATGTTTGCTTGAAGGTCTGCGCAAAAGCTTGGGCAGTGGCCCTGGAGCATGCGTTCTCTAGAATCAGAAGACCCCAAGATTGAAGAGGTTGACGATTAGGGATCCAGAACTTCTTGCCGCGCAAGTCCCAGCGACCAGCGAACATAGGGCTTGTGATGTTGTTTGCAAACTGGATCTTGGGAGGCTCGAGCAGGGAGCCCTGTGTCCGAGCCATCTGATCATCGAAGACAACACCGTACTGACGAAGGTACGGGTCCTCCTTCCACGCCAGCTGATTCTTCGCATCAATGATATCAGCCTTGCGCTGGTTGGGCCGAGTGACGGCGGCCTTGATCATGGCCGAAGTCTGATCGGGATCAAGCTTATAGAGGTAGCGCTGCATGGCCTTGACGATACAAACCTCCATGGGGAAAAAGCCGGACTTTGCAGTCTCAACAACAGGCCAATTGGGGAACATGACCTGGACACCGTACGTCTTTTGAAAGTACTGGGTGATGGTCATCTCCTCGCCATTGTTGGTGAATCTAAAGTTGTCTGCGGTAGCACCCTTCTCACCGTACTGCTGACCGAAAGCGAAGGACTTGATGGTGTACGTCTTGTCCCAACTCTCCTTGCCACGATGCTTGGGGGAGAAATGAAGCTTGACCAGCTTGCGAAGATGTTTGAAGGCCTCCGACATGGCGAAGACGGTGCGGCCGGTCTGGTCCTTCTGTCGAACCGGCTTGAGAAGATCGGCGATATCATTGGGCTTCATGCCCTGCCATCTGCGGTCACAGGTGCCCAGAAAGTCCCGGACAAGCATGTGAAGCGGGATATTCCCCTTCCAGAATGCCGTGTTGGCAACATCGACGTTCAAACCAAGTCCGCGGCCAATCTTGTCCATAACAGACTGGTTCATTCGAACCGAAGAGTAAACACCCTTCACAGCCTCCAAGCAGGGACCGAGCTCACTGGTCTTCTTGTTGCGCTCATTGTAGAAGTTTCTCTTGATGGATAAGAGACGCTCGCTGGGGTACTGCCGGACCAGGTGATCCAAGAAGTTCAGGCATTCGAGAACGGAATTGTCCCAGTCCATCTTGCCTGTGAGATAGGCATCCAAAGCCGCCAGGTTGATCTTCTTCGTTTCTTTCATGACGAAGAAGAACGAATTGTCTCGGGGCTTAGAGTTGGGGCGAGCGGGCTTGCCCTCGTCGAGATCGATTTTAAGACGCTCTTCACCACGCTGGATGGGGACAGAGGACCTGCGAGTGTGTTAGAAGAGTGTTTTGAAGAAGAACCTATCAGAAGTAACAAAACATACCAAGCGAGCTTACGTCCATCTTGCAGCCAAAGACACTTGTATTTCTTCAGCATCTGCTGAACCGCCGGAGACTCCCAGCACTTTCTGAAGACGACGTTGTACTTCAGGGGGGGAGGTGAGATGGTGACATCATATTGATAGATCGTCACATTGTCATTCCACTGCTTGACACGGAACTGGTTGACCTCCAGGTTCACCGGCTTGCCGGCGGTGTTGAAGCCGGGTCTCTTAATGAAAGGAGACATTCCCGGGTTGAGAAAAGACTCAGGGGGCGGGTCAATGCGGGTATTCTGGCGGTCCTTCTCGGGGCCGCCCTCGGGCTTGGCCGGGTCGAAACCCATAGACGGACCGAAGGTGTTTTGAGGTCTCGACTGAGAAGCGTGAGAGCCGGAGCGGGATCGACCGCCGGTGGGGGAGCCACCGTCTTTGGATCCATCCAAGTTCATGCCAGAGGCACGGGCCTGTTGAGTTCGACCGTTGGCAGACATCTTGTAGATAAATCGAAGCGGCTGAGTCTCACTTGCGCGTTGCTGGTCTCGCTGGATATGAATCCGGAAAGTTCTGGTGTTGCTGCTGAAGAAGTTAATATATGGTTGGGTGTGAAAGGATTAAGGTGGGTTGTTGTGGAAGAGAAGGCGTGTTTTTGTAGGTTTAATGGAGGATATTGTGACAGAAAGAGGAAAGAATGGAAGGAAGGAGGAAAGGAGGGAAAGAGGTGCCGGAGATAGGAAAGGAGCAAGATTGGGAAGGCACGGTAGTCTTAACCCAGGAACCAGAAAATGTGAGTGAAGGTTGCTGAGTCAAGTTTTCGGTGCAGTTGGATAGCTCGTTATTTATGAGAAAGGTGGAAAATATAATTGGGCGTGCAAGTGGAAGAGGGTTATACATTTATGTGTAGGTGTGGGAATGCGTGTGTAGTTCGGGTTAATGGGTATGTGGTTGACCTACCTGAGTGTGAGTGAAGTTGGTTGACTGACGTTGGTTGACTTGGTTGAGGGTGTGTGTGTATGTGTGGAGGAAGAAATGGAAAAGGCCTTGATGGAGAGAAAGGTGCCCTTATATAGGGAAGAGTAGGAAGGAGGCTGTTTGATGGGTTGAAGGCCTTGCCGTCGATGCCAAAGGAAGGGGCGGAAGTGAGGCAGGTATGAAAGCCAGGTGAAGGAAAGAGCCACCAAGGCAGGAACGGGAAATAATAAGCTTAACAAGAT